ATCCTCATTTACCATGTCTTCTCTTGCCAGAGCTGACTGGCTGGTAAAGCTTTAAAAGTCCCAAGCTCCACCTCAAGTATCCTGATAACACAGTTTAGTTTTTAATTACATTTTTGTTTGTTTTTATGTTGACCATTTAACTTTTTTATTGACTAAAAGTATATCGTCCTCAAAAAATTGGGTCAAAAAGAAGCAACGTGCCAACTTTCATTTTGGTGTGTTGCTGCATCTAGAGCACGGTGGTGCAACTGGTAGAGCTGCTGCCTCTCAGCGAGAAAGTCGTCGGTTCAAATCCCAAACCAGGGGCCCTTCTGGATGAAGTTTGCATGATCTCTCCATACAAGTGTGGGTTTACTCCGGGTACTTCCTCCCACAGACCAAAAACATGCATGTTAGGCTGATTGGTAACTCTAAATTGCCCCTAGGTGTGAGAGAGAGAGTGAATATTTGTTTGTCTCATTTGTCTCCATGTGTCCCAGGCATGGACTTGTGACCTGTCCAGGGTGTACTCTGCCTCTCGCATAGGGATGGCTGGATATGGGCACCGGTGATCCCCGCGATCCAATAAAGAAGAAGCAGATGAAAAGATAATGGATGAATGGATGTTGCATCTATATGTATAAAAGATCATTTTCAAAAATTAGGTTGCATCCAAGGCGGCCACAACCAGTGGTGGGCACAGCTAATCAAAAAGTTTGCTTTGCTAACCAATAATTTGCCAACTACAAAAATAGATATGCTAATGCTAAATCGCTAAACAGATAAAATATATATATCGGAAGCTAATGCTTAAGTGCTAACGTTTATCTTACACTATTGTCGCTAAGACTGTAAGACTGTAACGTGACAACGTAAGTGAACACAACTCAAACGGTTCATACATCACAGATAGAGCATCCATTTACCATTCACAGGTAAACTTTCAGATAATCGACCTGCCCATCGGAACCAAAGAGTCAGCGTAGAACTCTGCTGTGCTGAAGCAAAGGGATGCATTCAATGTGTGTTGGACGTCTCCCTCGTGTCATTTACTGTAATAAATTAACTCACTTTAGTAATCCTCTTTGTGGTCATCTACTTTTATAAACTAACTACAAAGTTATGATTAATCATCCTCATCAATATTCTCAGTAAAATCAGTTTGTATTAAAGTAAAGATGTGTGAAGAAATGTGTGAGAGAGTCACGTCCCAGAGACAGTGTGAGTGTTGCAATGCATGCTGGGTAGGAATTATGTATGCAATGTTTTTGACTGGTTACAATGTTTTGGAGTGTGAAAATTGATTTTCATGTTATTTTCTTGTTCTGGTTTGATTTGACATTTATATTAAAGTCTTTATTATTGGGTGTAAACCGACATGAATCAGATACTGTTTGCTGTAGGTGTAAGGGGAAAAAGCACTGCATGGGTGGTGACATCACCAGTTGGATATTAGCTCAGTTAAACTCTGCAAAGCTTTGTTAAAATCACCTTTGTGCTGTATGAGTTTGGTACAGAGATTTGTCTTTATTTTTTTTTTTTTAAATAGTGGATTTTAAATTTAGATTTAGGAGGGGATAATTCTGCTAAAAGTTTTCAAAGTTAGCAAAAACACTTATTTGCTAAACGAAATGTTAGCTCCACTATTAGCAGATTAATTAATTAAAGGAGCCATGGCCACCACCAGAGGCCAGTTATATATGCAAATTAAGCAGCTCAGTCATTTGAGGAAAATATGCTTTCTCGTTTTTAAACTACTTAAAAGTATAGTTTCTTCAAAGATTCAGGTGACATTTGGGTAGTTGAAGATTAAGCTATGGTGCCACTGTTTGTTACCCTCTGGCTCTGCCATTGCACCCAGTGGTGGATAAAATTGTTCCCTTCACTCACCAGGATCTGCCACTCTATGCTGCCTGGGACAAGCACAAACTAAATAAATGAAATACAGTAACTACCTCTGTTCTTAACAACAAAGTCCATGCTCAATAATCCGATATACAATTCAACATTTTTCAGTCAGGTCATCTGGACAGTTTCTTTTTTTGTGCTGAAACGTTTCACCTTCGATCTGGAAGGCTTAATCAATCAAGGAAACACACAACACAAAACTGATTCTTCCACCAACAGCTTACTCCAAAGTGGAACAAACCAGTTATGTTGGTGCTAAGATGGTGTCTTTGGCACGCCCCCTCCTCCATTGCCGGCCCTCTTCCTTGTTGACTGTCATGTCAAACTGGTTGAAAACAACATACCTCTGTTCTTATACACAGTGTAACTTGGAGGTGTCAATTCTAACCCGGGCCTGAAGCCCGGCCCGACCCTAATGTGGGCCGGGCCTTAATAATGTGCTGGATGGACAGGCCGGGTCGGTGTCGGGCTGTTTGATTGCACCAGCGGACACAAACAGCTGATGATCCAAATATATGTTAACATGGCTTGCCATATATCCACCAGCTGCAAGCGGCCATTTCACCGCATGCTGATCGGCCTTGAAAAAGATTTTTTAAAAGTTCAGTTAAGGTTCAGTTGGGACTACTGGTACTGTCAGGCAGCGATCCATCGCCCAAATGAACATTCAGCCACTGCACACGTGGCAGACGACCCAAACAGGTGAGATCCCAAAGCAGACATGTCAGTGCAGGGTCCGTGTCTGAATAATGCAGAATGCAGGGATTTAATGCGCTTTGACGGCCATGAAAGGACAAACACCCCCTCAGATCTGATCTTCTGCCCCTTTTATTCAGCCACGCACGTCTCCAGACCATTAATAACTATATAAGCAGTCAAAGTTTAATTAAAAATGTTGGCAGGGGGAGAGGATCAGGTTCAGACCTGTAATTATTGTTAATTTGTCGTGTCGGGTGGGGTTCGGAAATGATGGCTACAAGTTGGGGCCGGATCAGATTTTTTGGGCCCGAATGCAAATCTAGTGTGATTCCTATCCTTTGTCTATCTTGCACCCAAAACATTTAGATTTATTTGCATTCCCTGTTCAATTCCAGTCCAGAAAAACATTCATCTCACCGACGGGGACCATCAGCGTACTGCTTGTGTATGAAGTAGCTCCTCATGAAGTGACGATGCAAAAATCTTTAAATAAATGCAAAACGCTTTAGCTGATTGCTAAATGGTCTTAAACACTGTGCAATGCGTATAAGCCCTCTGACTACAACTGGTAATTTTTAATGCTGTATAACCACACAAATGTCTTGCCTCCCTTTCCAGGAAAAAAATGACTTATAGCATTAATTACATTGAACCATGCCAGCTTAATGAACCAATAATGTGAGCTTGCCATTGCCAAGAAAAGGCCCTGTGACATAATTAATGACTTACCGCTCACTATGTCAGCACAACCCTTATCAGTTCATTACGAGCCATCACTTAGTGCATTATGAATCCTTCTTAGACTGTCTCCTTTTTACTGCACATACAATTCACATGACTTTTCAACATACTGCATGCCTTAACCAAGCTTTATTTATGTGGCACAGTGAGTAAAAGGTGCCTGTTCACTGTTGCATGAACCAAAGAATTTATATCAGATGAGTTGTATAAAATTTAGGTTTCTGTACTCTGATGGGGAATTTAATTCCAACAAGGAATTTTATTAAGACACACATAAGAGAAAGGCTATGAAAATCCTCAAGCACTGCATGCAGTTTAATCTGGAGTCTATTGATTTTTTTTTAGCTGCAGTGCAAATTTTCTTAGTGTTTTTTTTTTTTTTTTACTCCTATTGAGCATTCATACTGAACAAGCTAAATAATTTATAACATTGGATTATCTGTGTTTTTGTTTGATCTATAAAATTCATGTCAGCCTGCTAAAACAATGCCGTTATGTTCAGCAGAGGATGTTAATAGTACTTAAATCCCATAAAATTATGAGTAAGACCTAATCATCTGAATTTAAAATATTCTTCAAAAGCACTGCGCTTAAAGGAAATTCTTACTCCTTTTAAGTGAGCCAAACCGCCACTCTTCACTGGCATATTTACTGTCATTATTCTGACCCAAATGCTAATGATAGCTATTAAGTCTAGGCTGACTAATGACACTGAAGAAGCCGTGAATGCAGCGTGACCAACTTGGGTGTTTTTATGTTGGTATGATATCATAATGCGATTAACATGGCATACCTAAACCCACATTGAGATAAGCTCATTGGAACCCTATTAAAAATACATTGCAGGCAACTAAAGGGAGCAGAAGAAATGTGTGTTTGATAGAAACTGTGCTCATCTCTGCTTCACTGCTAATAAAAAAAATAATGCACACAAATTTGAATTTATCAATAGGTAATTTGTTGAAAATACATTATACATTGTAATCCTTGCATTGTATTCACTCTCTTAGCTGCAGCCAGAAAACACACATCCACACATGTGGTTGTTCTTTTCACTACAAGTTCAGGTTCTCTACCAGAAACCTGGAACATTTAGGGTTTTGAACCATTACCCCTGGGACGTTGGATTCTTCTGGACAGAGATCTGCTGGATCCGCACTCCTGGTGTGAAAGTCACAGCACCAAGTTTTCTCATGACCGTTGGCACCCTTGAGGCCTTGTTGTCCACAACTTCTCCACTTCCTCTTACAGCCTTGGAATTTATACAGCTTTTCATGTTGCTTTTTGGAAATGTTGCAGTCGCTTGGGATTGCTACATCCATTATTACAGCCTTAAGGTAGGATCTCACAGGGCTGTGACTGTTGGAGACTAGTTGGCAACTCATCCTTGACTCTACTGTACAAGAAAATACTCCAGTATCAGTTGCACTTTCAAACTGTGCAGCCACATCTATGTTTATGGTTTAATCTATTGGTATACATTTTAGACATGAAGATAGGCAAATCTGAAACAGACTCTTGCAACCACAGCCACGCCCATCCCCAACTTTCAATCTTTACTACAATAAACATTTTTTAAATAAAATAACCACATTATTTAATGCTGCAATGCCTTTAAATAATAATAATTCTGAAAATAAAAACCAAAGCTGTAAATGCAGTAAGTGTTTTACCTGTGTTGTTGCGGTAGGGGCCTGTTTCTGGTCCCTGGCCCTGACTAAGGCTCCTCATGGGGCCCTTATTGTGGTAGACCCGTTCTTCATAGATTGGATCTATATTGTGCTCTGGAGACCCCAGTGGCCGGAGGGTCTCTTGACTGTGCTGACTACTGTAGGAGCCACGAGAGCCTGGAATGATAAATAACGAGGCTTGATAAGACGGATAAAAGAAATGAGATAAGACGAGTAAAAAAGCAAATAAGGGCTGCAGAAGAGGAGGTCAGGAAAAAAGTGTGTAAACTGTAATCAGGAAGTAAATGGACAGAGATGATGAAAGATTAAAACCAGAGAGTTTACAAACAGTTAAAGCAAGAAAGAAGATTTCCTGAAAGGGATTAAAGAATAACCACAAATATGTGAGAGAACAGAGAGAAAAGAGACATGATGGAAACGAGAACAAAATCCTGAGAGGATGGGTGAAAATAACGAGGATGATAATGAGCAAAGACAAAAAAATAATAATAATAAAAAGGAGCAATGACACAGATAAACGTACATGATTGACTTGTTTGTGGACTTGTCCATTTTCACCTTGCACTCTTCCTTTGCTGATGCCGACAGCTAAGGGTGACAGCGTGTGTTTGTGTGGGTGCACGTCTGTCTCTGAGGGTGTTTGTGTGATTTGTGGGGCAGGGAGTGAGTGAGAGCGCCACTAAATCAGAGGCACACACAAAACATGAAGACAGTAAAACAGAGACATGCACAGTGACAAATGAGATGGGGAGAAAAAATACACAGAGATCGAGGGAGACGGGGAAAAAGAAAGAACGATGCGTCTGTATTTCATTTTTTTAATCTTCGTGGAACACATTGCTTTTTGTCAGCTGTAAAATAATGAGATGCAACCCCCCCCCCCCCCCCCCCCCACTTGCTCTGTGTTTGGCAGGAATCCCACAGACACAGGGCAAGGGAAGAATTGACAGCAGGCATTTGTTCATAACACAGCAGAACAAATGCAAGATGGGCGCCTTTCTCTGGAAAACAAAAAAATAAATAATAAAATTAGGAAATGATAGAAAAGGGGCCATGTTCGAGGAACACAAAGACAAGTCGGGGGGGCTTAGCTGACGTGGCAGGAGATAAAACTAGAGCACACAAGCACACAGATGCACACAAAAGCTATGGATGACTCAAAGGAAGAATGCTTGTCCAGTGGAAATAATGACTTATATCATATTAGGATTGCAAAGTAAGCGGGAAAAATTTCCACAGGATGAAGAGGCAACAATTCAAGATTCAAACCTGTGTGTAAAGATCACCACTCAGCCTATCAAATTATATCAGAAATCAATGCAAACGAGGCACTTTGTCATCTTAGTAGGATTACACGCACACACGTTTGTAAGTAAATTCTTACAACCGTTTTCTTTCTTGCTAAAATAGTAATAATTAAAGTAAATTGCTATTTAAAAAAAAAAAAACTGCCCTGTCTGTATTTTAGGTGTTATGAGCATACTATTTTCAATAGGCTTGAGCATTCAGTGCAGTACAATGACGAGCAGCTGGAAAACAACAAGGCCAACCTGCATTAACTGATTGAAACTAAAGCCAAGACTGTTTCAGACAAGAACATCTTCCATTTGAAAGCAAAGTTACCTGCATGGTCTGATAACCTTCAAAAGATACTAAAGATAAGGCTGCATATGATTTTACACTCCAATAACCAGCAGTGGCCTCACAGAGAACAAACAAAAGCAATCAACATGGTCCAGAGGACCAGATTTAACTTTTTTAGATATTTCTACCTGGATTATTGAGCATGCATCAGGATAATCAACATGATAGTTAAAGTATTATCATCATCATCAAGGACTTGGGGTCCACTGTCCAGGAAAATGGGGAGTGTGGTAAAGAGGTGAAGAAGAGTCCAGGTCGGATGGAGTGGATGGAAAAAAGTTTCAGGAAGTAATTTGTGACAAAAAGGTGTCAGCAAAGGTCAAAGGAAAAGTTTACAAGACAGATGTGAGGCCAGCTGTGTTGTATTGTCTGGAGACAGAGACATGGACAAAAAGACAGGTGTAGATGAACATATGCTGTATTTATTCATAAATTAAACGGATTCTTTCATTTTTCTGGACTGAATAATGTCGTGCATTGAATTGTTAAAAACATAACGTGAGACGTTAATTTCCTTTGACCCATCAAAATGAACGTGGTCATTTATTTACAGAATCAAAATTTAACATCACACATTTACATTAATTTGTCAAAATGAAAATAACAACATGGCTAATTAGCAAGCTGTACAATTTGATTAACCATACGGCGATGGTTGAAAACCTTGCTTCACAACAGACATTTCTGAAAATATCTGGAATGATTTCTAGCAAAAAGAAGAATTTTAAAGATGGAAAATGAAGTTTATCTTGAGAGAGATGGGTGAGGGAATTTGTCTGTTATAACCAGAACAACACGCTCCTTTGGACCAGCTTAACCCAACGGTACACTTTGGTTGAGATCTACTCTTTACCTTTGCAGATGATAGTTTCAGCGTTGGTGTAGAGCTTTCCTTTCAACTCTTCCAGCGTCTCCGTAAGAACAGCTAAACCTCAGGAGTCGTGAGATCGTCCTAGAACAGACTTCTTCATAATTCCTCTGAACTTCTCTTGTTCAGCTTAGTCGCAGATGTCCTGAGCATTCTGGACTCTGCTGCTCTCGGAACCAACTCACAGCATTCTCTCAGTGTTCTCCTCAGCGTTCTTCCCAGAACTGCTGCAGCACTTCTCAGAACTTCAGAACTTCCTCCAGCATCCTGAATTCCAGCATTCTGAACTCTGGAACTGCTGTGAACTAGGAAGTGTTGCACCTTTTAAAAAGGGTCACTTCCGGTTCATTTGAGGACTTTCTGATTGGTTGGTTGGACCAAACAGAGGTGTGTTTTTGTGATGTAAGGTGTTATTAAAAAGTCAAGGAAAAAGATTAAGTGTTTAAGAACAGACAGAAGATTGTTATGAAGAACTCAGACTTTGCGGAGTCAACTCTCTCATATCTGCCTGAAAAAGTTAAACATGACATTTCTTTTTCAGTAAACTTGCAGTTGACCGAAACTTGAACTTTGACCAACTTACACTTGCTCATTCAAAGACAGAAAATCAGAAAATGCATAATTACTCTGTAACAGACCTTAACGTGATTTCTACTTTGCATGAGGATTAAAAATCACTAATACTGTTTCACAGTTGATTAAACATGAGTAGTTCACTTCAACATTAAAAATTGGTTTGAACTAAACACAATTTGATTATCAAAACATTTGTGAAATAGTAATGATAATAGAAAAGAGAGTGTTCTTTCAATTGATCAGTACAGGACACATAAAAAGTCTCTGGATGAACTTTATCTTGTGATTCTGGACTCAAATCAATGAAATACAGTTCTTGTTCCAGTAAGGCCCCTCAAGGCCAGATTCGACCTGAGGCCTAGTTCACTACACAGGAGACAGAACTGGAAGTGTCAGAAATGAAGATATTGAGGTTCTCCTTAGGAGTGACAAGGATGGATAAAATTAGGAATGAGATCATCAGAGGTACAGCACAGGTTGAACAACTGGGAGATAAAGTTAGAGAGGACACACTGAGATGGTTTGGACATGTCCAGAGGAGGGATAGTGGGTATACTGGTAGAAGGATGTTAGAAATGCAGCTGCCACGAAAAAGACAGAGGAGATACACTGTCTGGCCAAAAAGTTGCCACCTGGATTAAACTAAGCAAACAGGTATGAGCCTCCTATTGGATAATTACTGCATGGACGATTATCTTTCAGCTGCGACAAGTTATTTAACTGGTGCAATGAGTTGCTTCTCATTTCTTAAACAACCATGTTGAAAGACACATCGCGTGGTTGTGGAAAAGATGTCAGTCTGTTTGAGAAGGGTCAAATCATCGGCATCAAGCAGAGAAAACATCTAAGGAGATTGTAGAAACTACTAAAATTGGGTTAAGAACTGTCCAACGCATTATTAAAAACTGGAAGGATAGTAGGGAAGAAATGTGGTCGGAAACAAATCCTGAATGATCGTGATCGGCGATCACTTAAACGTTTGGTGAAATCAAATGGAAGAAAAACAACAGCAGCACTCAGGGATGTGTTTAATAGTGAAAGAGCATTTCCACACATACAATGTAAAGGAAACTCAAGGAATTGGGACTAAACATCTGTGTAGCCATAAGAAAACCACTGATCAGTGAGGATAACTGGGAAAAAAGGCTTCAGTTTGCTAGGGAGCATAAAGATCGGACTCTGGAGCAATGGAAGAAAGTCACGTGGTCTGATGAGTCCAGATTGACCCTGTTCCAGAGTGATGGAAGTGCATTAAGGTAAGAAGAGAGGCAGGTGAAGTGATGCACCCATCATGCTTAGTGTCTAGTCATCAATGCAAAATCTTGGTGAAAAATTAATGCAACACTGGATGGAATAGATCTTGTGACGTTGCAGAAACTTATCGAAACAATGACAGAGCATGCATGATGTAATCAAAGCTAAAGGCGGTCCAACGAAATATTAGTGACCTTTTTTTTTTGTTGGAGACATTTTTTGGGGGCCAGGCAGTGTATATGGATGCAGTTAGAGAGAACATGGAAGTGGTTGGAGTGAGGACAGAGTGAAATGGAGGAGGACGACTCGCTGTGGTGGCCCCTGAAGAGGGAAAAGCCGAAAGAAGAAGAATTCAAATTATTGGAGGAAATAGAAGGTATTGTTGAGGAAAATGGGTAAAAGAAACTGGACATAGTAACTCCTTGATATCCTTAAGAAAAAACAAGGTGAATTTAAATAAAAAAGGAGCAAGAAATGGGCTGAGTTTTCAGAATATTCACAGAGTTGAGTTCATTAGAGTCATGAACATGTTGGTTAATGCCATAGATCATCCCAACTCTTTCATTTCCTTCCATGCCTTTAATCTTTTAAAAAGTTTTATTTTGTTATTCATTTGGTTTTCACCTCACAAGTGCCTGACTGTCAAAGTTCTGGCCTCTTTCTTTCAAAAGGATAAAGAGTAAACTATCTGAAGACTTTGAAAAAATATGTACATTTTAAATAAAGTAAATTTATTTACTACCATTCTGTTTCACTATATAAAAATAAAAAAAACATCTAAAAGCCAACTGTGCTTGACTGACTTTCAAAATGTTTGTGTTGGTAAAGGAATAAAAAACATTTTGGGTACACAGTGAGAAAATTTAATTTTTTAGATTATTCATAAAATCATAAAAACAAGTCTGTGCTTATTACCTCAAAAATGAACATAAAAAGTTTCATGTACTACAATTTTGTGAAGCAGAAGAGTAACATGGTTGTACTTATCTTAAACATCAATTCTCCAAGCACCAGTGTGTCAATACGTTTGTTGTTAGCTTTGCTTTTAACAATGTTCGGTGATCTTTGCTCCAGTTCACTTGTATTTTTCCGTATGTTCAATCACGTTTCTTCACTTTAGCTTCCTAGTCAGTGAGGCTGCCACTCCCACTCCCTGTTCCCAGTTCAACATTTGGCTCTGGTGTTTCAATTTTCCCATTTATCTCAGTCCTTTCTATTCAGCCTGTGTTCTAGCAGTGCATTGCTTACGATGCTCCTTGTATTTTCCTTGCACTCCTTGTGATTGTCTCCAGTTCCCTTATAGTTCTTTATTGCCAAGTCTGTTTGCTTTTGTTTAAAGTAAAGTGGAGTTTCAATTCAAACTCTTGGTGTTGTGTGTGCATCCTGAGTTCGATTCCCCAACTCCACACATGACAGAGTCTAACGATCCAATTTTTGACCAGATGTCAGTGGCAGCAGCACTAGAGTCTAAATGTCATCTGACATGTTTGCAGAACAACGAGCCGACAGTGAGTTGGTGAACAGGGACGGTTTAAAAAGCAAGCGTGAAAGTGGAAACACCTGGCCTGAGCACTGATTGGGGACAGGTGAGGGTGGCAGGCTGAATGGAAAAATACTGGGGAGGTTTACTGAGGTTGAATGGATAATGGCAAAAGGAAACAGAAAAAACACAGATCCTCTCCATCACATATTTGTATTTTACCTTCATCTTATTGTATGTACATGATAAACTAAGGTTCATACAGGAGATATTTCGTTCATACAAAATAAAAAGGAGATTTATCCCAAGATTTCCAAAAGCTTGAACTTCAAGACTTCAATCACTTCCTTTTTTTTTAAAAAATTATGTTTTTCATACTGCTGCTATTGGTAATTCTACCATGTTCAGTTCGTAGACATGATAAGATGCTCGCAGAAGAACAAGACTAATTAAGAGCAATTGCATTTGCACATTCTGCCTCATTTCACGACAGACTGACATGGAGATGTACTTTAAAGCACAATTTAGTATACCTGTTTTTTTTTAAGTGTAAAGTGTCCATATTTTGGTTTATGGTTTTCAACAACCCCAGTAAAGTAGATGAATAAATGAATTCCCACCTGCCAGACTGCCAGGCCGTTGCAGGGTAGCCGTAGCGTAGAGCTCGTGTGAGATCTTGTATTGGTCCGAGGCGTGGTGAGCTGCCAGACGTTTGGGAGACAGTGTGGCATAGCTCCCTATGCCTGAACTCATCTGCGAAGACATTTTTATCCACCGTGTTATTTATTTTACCCTTTAAATTGTTGCAAACAAGCTCAATAAAAACTAAAATAGAATATTAACTTTATTGCCAGTTCTCTTATAATGAAAACTCATTTTTAGTATCTAGCAAGCCTAAAATTAACTATATCTATAAAGTCACACAACGAAATGCAAAGCAGAAACAAATAGGCTGCATTTTTCATTGGGCTTCATAAACAACTACTTTACATTCTGTTTATTCTAGACGGTAAAAGCAGAAGGGACAACGGCTTTCTTAGGACAGTTTTTCCATGCTAATTGAGTTTTGAGTCTTTTGGTTGATGCAGCAGCTGAAAGGATGAGTGAAGATGGAGGAATGAGCCGTTATAGATCTGAACAAAGGTCAGTAATAATATAAGTGTTGGAGTGAGCGCTAGTCTTTCTGGTCTGGTTGAATGTTATCAAGATGGAATATTAAAAGCATTCTACATAAACAGCCATTAAAGCTTCTTATTTCCACAAAGACTTGTTGTCTTGCCTTTCCATGGATAAAACCTGCATGAAACTGGAAACTAAATCTAATGCCTAAAGCAGGGGTCTGCAACCTGCGGCTCTGGAGCCACATGCGGCTCTTTGGTTCCTCTGCAGCGGCTCTTGCAAGCTTTGACCAAAACGAACATAAAACTGAATTTTATTGGTTGTTATACAAACAACAAAAGGACTAGTTTTAGCTGTTTTCCTGTCATTTCTTTAGCAAATATGTGAATACGGGAACAAGTACAAGGAGTTTAACAGTATGCATCATTTCTGTACTTAATTAATTTTTCCACAATTAACATGATTACATACTTCATAGTTTTTATTAATAAAAAACAAATGACCACCCCTCCTTTACAAGAATCTGATCTTTTCATTTGTCTTAAATTGTAAAAATATCAATAAATGGTTAAAATCATTAGCGATTTTTAGCTTTATGAAGGCTCGGCTCTTAACTGGAACTCGTAGGTTTGAGCATAATACACCAGTTCTGTCCTCCCTTCACTGGCTCCCTGTATGCACCAGAACTGATTTTAAAATTCTCCTGCTAACCTTTAATGGCCTTGCACCCACTAATCTCACTGAGCTACTGGAACCATATGTTCCCTCTCGGGGTCAGAGATCATCTGATCACCTGCGTTTGGCTGTTCCAAAAACAAGATTGAAGGCGATCAGGCTTTTTCAGTCGTGGGCCCCAAACTTTGGAACAATCTGCCAGTCATTCCCCGATCTGTTACAGAAGCCGATCCGAAATGTCAGCTCATATGCGTATGCGCTAAAAGTAATACTTCCGGGCCGCACGGATCACCGTTGAATTAATTTTCCTAGCCAATGTTATAATTCCATTTATGAATAAGAACCATCTTAATTTACTTAGAAAAATACAATCTTCATGTTGCTAATTTATGCCACTCGTATTTCCGTTAAAATCATTGACATATTAACCCTGCAAGATACAGAATGATTTATATGTTGAAACAGCGCCGCTCTGTGGTGAAGCTGCGCTACATCACCCATTTATTTATTTTTTTTACCTTACATTTGCATCGCATATCGTTTTAAACAATGACCTAAACATGTTAATGCTTTTAACTGAAATATGAGTGGCGTAAATTAGCAACATGACGATCGTACTTTTCTAAGTAAAACGCTAGTGAAGATTCTGTCATTCAGGATCATGGTAAATTCAAAAAAGTCTTCCGTTACAAATAAAGTCCAGTTGTTTTTGTCTTGAACTTTTTTTTAATTTTCTAAGTGAATTAAGACAGTTCTTATTCATAAATGGAATTATAACATTGTCTAGGAAAAATGTATCACTTTATAGAAAGAGCTATTTTAATTAATATTAATAAATGTGGTATGTTTCATAAATATATTTTATCAATATGTGTTTTATTAAATGAGCTTACAGGATATTTCCAGTACATTTTCCTTAATCTTGCATATTCAACAGCGAGCCGTGTGACACGCAAGTAATACTTTTAGCAAACAAACAAATGAGCTGACACTACGGATCTTGCTTCCGTAACCGATCGGGGAATGACACTGCCCCCCAACTTAAGGCAGGCCCCTTCACTTCTTGTTTTTTAAATCTCCGCTAAAAACTCTGTTTTCTCTGGCTTTCCACACAATGTGATTTGATTTAGGTTTTTTTTTCTTCTCTGTTTTATGCTATTCATTGATGCTTTTAATTCATTTTCAGAACTATCATTTTTATTTTATTTTTTAAATAAATGACTCCGATTTTTTTTTATTAAGCACTTTGGTAACAGCTTCTGTTTTAAATGTGCTTTATGAATAAAGTTGATGACTTGACTTTATATTGTCGCCCCTAGTGGCCACAAAACCTCCCCCTCCAACAAACCTAAAGTGGCCCATGGGCCACCAGTTGATAATCAGCATGTCGTTGCAGCTCTGAACACTTTTAATTTAATGAACAAATGTTAAAAATGGCTCCTTTTATCATAAAGGTTGGTCTACAGTTATTTCCAGATATTTAAATTAATTTATCTGTTCTATTGGCTGAGCTTTTTACTTTGTAGAATCAAAGAGAGGTTTTTTTTTTTTTTTACTAGTTCTTGTGGCTGATTTATTTGGCACCAGGTTCATATGTAACCACTGAGTTTCCAGTTCGAGTGTTTTTGTGCGTTTTCAGTTTTCATTACTGTTTTTGCAGCTCAAAAATTGTATTTGTTTTATTTTCATTTTTTGACAACAACTTCTGAAAAACAAAAACAAAAATCTCTCGTAAAACTTCTTGAGAAACACGTAAATCACCCAACGAAATAAAATGAAAAGTCAAGTTTAAAACAAGCCGCTGAATAAATACATACAGGTATTGCGACGTTCCTAAACAAAGTAGTTTAAGACAATAGTGGAAATGTAGTTGGTTTTAAAACAACAAATATAAACTTGTGTTACTTTTTCCACAAACTGAAGGAATTTGTTCATAGTGAGCAGCATTAATGCTGCAGCAAGTGAAATAAGTGTCCAGGTATCAACTCCAGTACCTGGTGAAGAGGGGATGACGACGAACCGGTCCCTCCTCCTGTGGCTGCAGAGTTGGGCGGTGACGCCACCCTCAGGGGGCACCCCCCTCCTGCTGTTGTCACCGCAACCGTAGTACTGGACAAGGCAAAGGACAAGCACATGCATGTCTTTTTAACTCGTAAGGCCTTTGCTCCTTCTCATTTTCTTCCCGTGGATGAGTTTAGTACCTGTAAGACTTGGCCAGTCGACTTGTAGAAGACTGTTTGCTGGGAGAGGAGGAAGGCAGGCGCTGAATGGTGGCGTGCCCCGCCGCGTCGGAGGCTGATCCCAGGCGTTGGTGTTTACTGGGGGAACCAGACCCTGAGCCGCCTCCTCCGGTCAGAGGGGAACTGACACGCTGGCTGGGTAAAGTTGAGCTGGAGTAGTAGATTCCTAAGCAACAAGGAAGGGAAGGAGTTCAATAAATGCAGAAAGACAGAAAGTGCGAAGGTTTGAAAAAGCAGAAGAAAATAGTGACCTAATGTATGTGTGGAAAACAAAGTAATTGACCCAGCAGTTATGAGAATAAAGGTTTTTTTGTCAAAAAGTAATGTCAACTCTGCATATTACTACTTTCAAGCAAATCTATCATAAATAAAATACTAACCTGATCCTGCCCCAGGCTGTGATTGATGCTGCTGGGCTGCACGACTGGACGTCACCTGAGGGGAGGAAAGACAGAGACAAGGAGACCATTAACTTAAAGAAAACAGAAAATGGACAAAAGAGCAACTGAGGAGGAAGTAGGAATTTAGGAGGAGAGCTAGAAGAGACGTCACAATAAAACTTGATTTGCCCACTGAGATCAGTAAAGCGTTTTAGTAGTTGTACAAATTAACCAAAAGGAGCTAAAAGTGACATTTTTTCCAGAAGTCATTGGAAACACTCATAGACCTCCAACTTCCCTGATATCAACTGGAAAATAAAAAGTCTCACAAACCGTGTTCAACCACTTTGTCAAAGTCAACTAAACAAAACAAGCGTGTCTGAAGGATTTGAATAGTGAATGTTTGTAGTTTTTTTTTTTTTTTTTTTTTTTTTAATGTTTTTTTCTGGACTGGAATGCAAGTAAGCAAGTATGTTTTTGGTGTAAGATGAGATTAGGAGCAGATTTTTTTTTCATTTGATCAATTTGCAGCACAGAGTTATGGATCCTGGTGAGCGCAGGAAGCAATTGTATCCTCCACCAGGAGCAATGGAGGAGCCAGAGAGTGACCGAAGGTGGACTGGGCCACCAGAGATGGATCTTTGGCCACCCGAAGGGCCACCCTAATCATCTGAGGAAATTATATTTTTAACAGTTTAATAAGTAGAATTCACAGATTCCTCAAAAATGGGGCTGGCTGGTTTATATAGTATACGTGGATTATTACAGCATATATATATATATATATATATATATATATATATATATATATATA